TGTATAGTGATGGTTTTAAAATGGTTTTAAATATGTTTTATATTGGCGTATGCCCTTGTAAGCCGCCCTGAGCCCGCGTAGCGGGGAGGGCGGGGTATAAATTGAATAAAATAAATAAATAAATAAATAATTTATTTGCTGATGTCCCGGCCCCTGCCGGGAGCGCTTGGGAGCAGGGAGTCCCAGGAATGAGGCAACCGCCCCAGGTCTGCCCCCCCCACTCCACAACTTACTGTGACGAATGAGACAGCCCTCCGGAGCAACGACAGAGACACCGTGGCTGCAATGGAAGGGCGAGGCGTGGCTGTTGGGAGAGTGAGGCCCAGCCCACGGCAAAGCTTCCGAGGCTGGTCAAAAGTGGGCCGGGAGGAACAGCTGCCCACAGCAGCCAGGCTGGGGCGGGAAGAGCCGCGGCAGGGCGAGGCAGACGGTGGAGGAAGACCAGAGTCCCTGGCACACAGCAGGAGGGCGGGGAAGGCACAAATGGGCTCAGTGTCCTCACCTTTAGGTGGGCAGGGCTACAAAGGCGGGGCCGATAGGGGAATGAGGGGGTAATAAAAAGGGAAGAGAGGAGACGGCCGGGGAGGAAGAAGCCTGGGCTGGCTGGGGCAGAGGAGCATGAGAGTGACAGAGAGAAAGCAGTGCCCCATATAGACTGGAGATCTGGGCAGAAGGCCAGAATTCCAGGACAGGAAAGAGAGGTGCAGTAACCCTCTGATCACCCCATCTTCTGAGGCTGCTTCTCCCTCCCTCGGCCCTTGATGCTCTGCCAAGGGGAGGGGCCCCACACAGTCCGAGGCCCTATGGCTGACAACCCGCAGCAGACGAGATGGCCACGGGTGGCCAGCCCGCGGCGGGCGTCCACGAGCGTGACAGTTGAGATGCATTCATAGTCTTAGGTAGTTGCAGACTTTATAATCTCTAGCTGATGGCAGCATGCTCCCCAGTATGGAGCAACAAAAGCAGCTGAAATTGAGATAATGGAAGTGCTAGTTCCTGAAAGTGTGGTCCTAATACAAAAAGTGGTCTAGCCTCGCATTTCAGTATTCTTGTCTGCTGATGAATGTCTGCTTGCTTTTGAAATGTTTATTTTTCATTTGTGACCAAATATTTGGCTAGTTGGTTTATGTGGGAAGTTCAGTTTCCTTCTTCACACTGTCCTTCCAGAACTGCCAAGCATGTCTGTTTCCTTTTTTCTAGTACCATGCAACCCTTAGAGGACTCTTTGTTCCTTTCAGCCCTCAGTGCTATGCCTTTTCTGTCCCATTCCTTCTTTGTCTCTAACCTCCTGCACCTTCCTTCCTTCAGATGTATATTTTTCAGCACCAAATCTACTTGGTTATTCTTCCTTAGGTTCTTCTGTCCCTTTAACCCATTTGTCTTAGCCCTCCCCCCCC